ACCCCCCTAACTTTTTTCCTAGTCCTTTTCGAGCTAGTGTTTATAGAAAACTTTCTTTTAAAACGAAAACTATCTAAAATTCATTATTATTAGTTTTATTGGACACTATATAATACTATAATTCAATGCATGTAGGGACATTAATCAACAAAATTGTTACATCTCGCAATATCATCAGTTAGAAATTATTTGGCCTAGTGGCTACGGAGGTCTTGATTTCATAATATAATGTAGACGTAATTTAATATTGGTCGGGTCATTACTTCTCATAGTTGTTTTCCACAATGTCATCAGGTAATGTAGTTATTTTATATTTTTTTCTAGATATGATTTTTTCGATATATCTTTTTTAATTTCGTGTAGTTGTTTAACAAATAATTTTTTAGTAGAAGATGGCTTTGGGGATTAAACCGATCGATATTTATCCTTCTGTATAATAAACAAGGCAATATCAATATGAAAACTGACACAAAAGAATAATAAAACCATTTATGGATATGGAGTACTGAAGTATGATAAATATTAATAAAATTTGGAGAGGGTGATGTTCTTGTCATCCATGAGTCCCTTCTAATTGTGCCATGACTGGAAAAATGTGTTGAGTATTTTATAACAATTATAATCTAAAATTGAAATATTAATCATAAGCTTTGATGTGTATATCCCTAATAATTAGGTAGACATCTTTATACAGGGTGTCTCATAATTAGCTGCCAACCCTGAACAGGCCGATTCTATGATCAAAACTAAGTAAAAAAAGTTCATATGAACATGGGTCCGGAAATGCTTCCTAAGGGCACAGGGACCCATTGAAAAGGGAGGAATGGAAATAATTTTTTTGCAATATCTCTCAATCGCGTTGTGATAAATGAATGTAATTTGGTATACACAGCTAAATTTTGATGAGCAATTTGATGGACTAATCCATTTATTTCCACAAGGTCCATTGGGATGGGTACGGGGGGCCCTTGGTACTTTGAGTGTGTAACTTTTTCATCTTTGACTTTTTAACAAATTGGACAGCAAATTCCGTTTTCCCGAACTGTTTTACGTTAAAAAGGTACTCTTGTTTCAAATCGTTATCTTTAACGGTTTCTGAGAAAATCGCTCTTGAATTAATCCCACTTTGGTCAATTTCATAGTAATTTAAACAAAAAAAATTTTTTGTTTAAATTTAATCTAATTTTAATAAAAAAATAATAATAAAAAATTAAATTAAATAAAGATTAATCCTTTTAATGGAAAAGAGAGGAAAGGAAAATTATTATTATTATTTTTTGTCACATTTTGTGTCACAAATTGTTTCACATTTTTCATGACAGTTTCGCGTGCCATCATTTAAATTCTTACATTTCTTAGCTGTGATCTTTGTGCTTGACTTTGCATTTCATTCTATTTTTTTATAACCATGCACCATCATGGTTTTACTAACCGTGAATATGCCGATATGCATTTTATTTATGGTTTCTGTAATGGGAATAGTCTGGTGGCTCAAAAAGAGTATCGGCAACGTTTCCCTGCTAGAAGGCAATCTTCTGCAAGATTGTTTAGGAAAATTCATGCAAGAACGATGGGATCAGAAGCCCTAACTCCAAGATATCGTGAATTTGGCCATCCAAGGAGGCGTAGGCATGATTTAGATGAAGTAATTTTAGGATTTTTTTTAACGTAATCCTACTGCGAGTGTAAGAATAGCGATTGCTCATGATGGTTCATGGTTGTAAAAAAATCGAATGAAATGTAAAGTCAAGCACAAAGATCACAGCTAAGAAGATGAAATGTAAGAATTTAAATGATAACACGCGAAAGTGACATCATTACAACGAAACTGATGCCTACTATGTGAAATATTTAAAAAAAGCAGTTACTGTTCTAAGCCATACATTATTATTTCTAATTAAACTACGCAGAATACGAAAAAAAAGTAGGGACATTTTTTCTTCAAAAAAGTCGAATTCACTAAAAAATAAAATTATTTGTTTGATAATTCAGAGGAATAAAAAAAAATCGAAAAATTTCTGTTGAAACTTGTGAGAGTTAAAGACCCTTATGGTATGATTATTACCTACTATTTTCTTTCCATTATCTTAATCAGAAAGAAAGTTATTTTAAAAAATATCCAAATGACGAGACCCCTTTGGAGGGCCATATCTCAGTAACGGTGCTCCGTAGGACCAATGTTTATAGGACCTTTTTTTACTATTTTTGGCTCTACTTCACCTCCTTAAATTTTGTACCAACTTTTTCAAACACCCTGTATAACTAATTATAATATGAATACTTACAGTAACCAAGAAAAACTAGATATAATTTTAATTTATGGAGAGTACCGGAAGAACGCTAAAACTGCCAGGCATTTATACCAACGTTTCAGCAGAGACAACTTCCATCAAATAAAATTTTCGAAAGTTATCCAGGAATTTGGCGGCAGATGGAAGTTTTCAAAAGAAAAGAAGAGTTTTTAAACCCAGAAGGGCAAGAGATGAAGAACATTCGATAAAGATGTTAAATGACCTGTTAGATATCCGGATCTCACTCCTATAGATTTCTTTCTTTGGTCTTACGTCAAAAAAAAAGTTTACTCTTCGCCATTAAATGATATTGACGACCTTAAAAACAGAATAAGAGTAGAATGTCGGAGGTCATTTTGAACATTTCAAATAAGTATTGTTTTAAATTGTTATATTATTATCGCATTAAAAATAAAATATGTTACTTTAAAAAACATAATAACTTGTTTCCGCAGTGGCTATCATTTTTCAGAATGAAGCTACTAAAAGAAGGGTTCATCTTTTTTACTGCTTTTCTAGCAATATTTCTAATAAAACTATTCCTTACATAGCTGTACGCAGAAAAAAATATCTTCCAGAACTGATTAAAAAATATATAGTGTGACATCTGAACAAAAACAGTTGACTATAACAATGTTGACATATGTTACCATAGAGACGATCTAATAATGTCATTTGATAGAGTTTGATTTAAAAATATATAGGGTTTGTTATAGCTATCTGCTAAAGTAAAAGAGATACAGGGCCGCGAATACCAAACTGAATCACCCGGTATATTTATAATTTGTTGTAGTTCTGAAGTACTCATTATTTCCCTAGTGTCCCCTATATTTGGTATACTTGATTTTTTTGGGAATTCTAAGAATACCTATCTAACAATAAAAAGAAATTCATTCATTCATTATAAGAAGAAAAGTATCAAGGTAGACATGATGTCACCCAAGTGGAACGTCCGCATAAGATATCCATCAAGGTCCAAAACAATAAATGACAATAGATTATGCTGTACTGTGTAATTTATTTATTTTGAAGATTTGTTGAAATGTATTCAATGATTTATCTTCAATTATAATTTAAAAAAATTGTCATGTCCTTTGCAAAGTCACTCATACGATATAATGATAAATAGTTTCTAATAAGTAAACTTCTAAAGGCGTAAGTGTAAGTATTTCAGATTGTTTTTGAATTACGAAGTACAAACACAGTTAAAAGAAAAAGAAATACATGATAGCCTGGGGCTGAAATATAAAATTGTCTTTCAGACAGCGACAATATGAGACAAAAATATTTTTTGATGCTCACTGACGTCATTTTACAGACACGTAACATCATATCGCAATTTAAAAGATGACGACTAGTTTGAATTTTAATTAATTGTTACTAATTGTTATTATTAATTATTAAAAATGTATAAATTTTTATTTTTACGTTTTCAATTTTATTGTTTATGACATTCGATTAATTTATATGTTGTGGTTATAATACGTATTCAATTCTTGTTGGTGGAACTCGGTAAATATAAGATTATCTTTGTTTCTCCTATACGTGTTAAAATTCTTCCACTCGCATTATAATCAATCAAATGTATTTTTTTATTAATTCTGGACCAAAACATTATTATTATAATGGAAAATCTCGAATCTACAGAAATTCTTATGGAGATTAAGGTGATAAAAACATCACATACTGTAAATGAACTGCATTTTGAAATATTAAACAAATTGGTATACAGTTCGTGAAATATTCTTGTCAAGACAATGGCATTGTCATTTTTTTCTGGATATTGTTTTTCTAAAAGAGAAAATCATTTGTGTTTATTTATATTTTACTTAAATCAAAGCGTAGTCAAATAAAAAATAAATAAATATTACACAAGGGATCAATAAAAATTCTGACAAAACTACAGCGTGTCTTATGACTATGTGCAACTAGCTACTCACGTTATATTACAATCAATCCAATGTCACTCATTGTTATTATTAGCGATTATTTGAATCATCTACAAAATAAAACTTATTTCTATTATTACAAATTCTATAGGGTATCCCTGAAAAGGATGGACAACGCTTGACCACAGGTTCCTTGGATGAAAATAAGACTATTTAGCCTAATTTACCTATATACAAAAGTGCACGCCTGCTAAGATATAGCCTTCTAAATATAGAATAAATAACCTAGTTTTTTTCGAATAATTTGATACACATATATTTTTGTATAAGGACAATGGAAGAATTTGGTGAAAATACATATACAGGATGTTCTCTTTCTAGTGCCTGTGCGCCACTAGCTATTGCCTCTTACAAAATTGATATCGCTAATGGATTTCGAGTAAAATTGGCATTTTTATACATCAAAGGCAAAAAATCCGATTACTAAAAAAATAATTTGTAACTGCAGCCTCAAAACAGGGAATAATAATGAAAAAACTTCACATTAAAAATAAATTAACCACACATTTTTAGTCTTATTATCTTATTATCAATTAATAAAATAAAAAAATCAACATTATTTTAAATAAACAATATCAACTAATAATATAAGAAAGTGAACATAAACATTTTAAATAAATCTAAATTGATATTTGTAACACTAAAATAATATTATAGTAAATGTGACTTTCTTGTTCTTGAACGAAGGCATTAATTCTTCTTAGGAAATTAAAATGAATTGTGTATCCATTACCTACATTAATATATATATAAACTAGCTCTACAGGCCTAGTAGGCCCATGGCTTGATTGACCACTTTCTTCCATTCCTGTCTGTCCAGAGCTTTTTCCCTCCAACCTTGTACTCCCATTTGTCGCATGTCGTCTTCCACCTCCTTCTTCCACCTGACTCTCGGCCTTCCTTGTCTTCTTGTATTTCCGATTTTACAATTTATTATTCTTGCGGGAACTCTTTCTGAATGCATCCTCGTGATATGTCCCAACCATCTAATTCTTTGTGCCTTTATCACCCCTATTATGTCTGGTTCCTTGTATAATTCTTTTATTTCATTATTAGTACGTCTTTCCCACATACCGTTTACTTCTTTTCCTCCATAAATATTTCTTAATATTTTACGCTCCCAGACTCTTAGTCTGTCCTGCTCTTCCTTTCTTAAAACCCATGTTTCGCTTGCATACATCACTATAGGTCTTATCATTGACTTGTAAATCCTTATTTTTAGTGATTGAGTCATGTCTTTGTTTTTCAAAAGTCTCCTCATTGCATGTACACATCTGTTTCCTGCCATCAGTCTTGCCTGTATCTCTCTTTTTATATCTGGCCTTCTGGAGAACACTGTGCCTAGATATCGGAATTCCTCTACTTCCTCGAAATTGTATACTTTGTTATTTTCTGTTCTTATTGTCAATTTATTGCCTACTTTGTACTCTTTATCTGTCCATGTCATATATTTGTTTTATTTTCGTTTATCTGCAATCCTACTTTTCGGGCTCTCTCTAGATGTTTTAGTTTTGTTTTCAGTTCTTGCTGTGTTCTTGTTACGATTGCAATATCATCCGCGAACGCCAGACACTGGTGTCTTTTGTGGAAAAGCAACCCATTTCTGTTCATCTTTGCTTCTCTTATTATTTTTTCCAGATTGTGTATCCATTACCTACATTAATACCTAACATTAATTTCATTTTGTATTCTTTCCCATAATTCGTTTTCTGCATTTATTGTAAAGCTATAAACTGTGATCCTCAACGCTCCCCAAAGGAAATAATTACATGGGTTTAGGTCCGAGGATCGAGGTGACAATTTTAAAGGGACAGTATTTCCTCTACCTATCCACCTGTTAGGATAGTGCTCATCTAAGTATTGCCTTACCGATGAGGAAAATCCTATTATCTCATAGTGTTATCGGTAACTCTTCAGGCAGGTAGGAGGGTAATCTCATGTGGAGAATTCTAAATAATTTTCTGCGTTCAGTGCAGCAGGTAATATTATTACCACATTGGAACCGTCTTTTACTGATTCCATGTGGATTTTTCATCACAATAAACATGTTCATTATGTGAATTAAAAATACCCCTTCTAGTAAAAGCGGTTTCGTCTGTAAAAAGGATTTTCTTGTGGATATTATCGTCTCTGTTTCCTGAGTTCCTGAATACTTTGACTTAAAGCAACACGTGATGGAGGATCTATTGGTAGGTAACAGTTCTTGAACTGATTGAAGGTGGATTTGGAATTCTTCGATTAGGAATTCTTTTAGCATATGTTCGAACACTAGCAGAACAATTTCCTTCACAGTAACCCAAAACTAGCAACACATCAGTTTGTTGCAAAAGTATAAATTGTAGCCATAGTATTGTAGTACTAAAAAACAAAGTAAGCTAAAATTAAATAGCACCTAGCTTGACGCTGAATCTTTTAATTATTGTTGTGAATTTATACTGATTTTATATTATTTAATGTGTAAAAAATGCCAATTTTGCTCGAAATCCATAAACGATATCAAAATTTTGTAAGAGGCAAAAAATCTTTTAAAATAGTGCTTATTTTCTGTCGTCACTGGCGTACACACAAAAAAGTTACAAGATAGCCAGTGGCGCACAGGCATTAGAAAGAGTACATCCTATATATGTATTCCCACCAAATTCTATATTTACATTGCCCTTATATAAAAAAATATGTGACCAAATTTGTAGTTTCTAAGAAAAACAGTTTTCAAATTATTTGAAAAAAACTAGGTTATCTGTTGTATATTTAGAAGGTGATATCTTAGTAGGCGTGCACTTTTCTTAGATTAGGTAAGTAAGGCTAAATAGTCTTATTTTCATCCAAAGAACCTGTGGTCAAGCGTTGTCCATCCTTTTCAGGGACACCCTGTATATAGTCCCTCTAGATTTATAGTGACTATTTCATTAATTACGTTATACTCATTCACATTTAGTTACAGTGTAACTAATCAAAGCGTCATGTTTTGATTATTTTTTACTAATCGGTCATTATGCTAACAAAACTGCTGAGCTTTTATCGCTGGCAAAATCATGTTCATAGTGTGCGGTACGTATTTACTTTAGGTTCTATCTTTTAAGCTGCCTTGTATATTTTGATAAAGATTTGGCATATATTACACATTAATGTCCATTATACTTAAACTTGTTTTACACTATTACTATGTATTACCTACAAGGTTTTAAAATCAGGCTAGTCCCAACACAAAGATGCTATCGAACTGAAAATATTATTTTTATAGGTACCTACTAGTGATGTAACGAATGCCAGTTTTTAAGCATTCGCGTATGCGAATGCGAACATCTGTTGTTGACATTCGCGAATGCGAATGCGAATACGAATATTCAGTTTTTAAATCTAGCGCTATTTATCTATGATTCAAAATATGCCGCGCGCGACGCACATAATAATATTTGCGGTGACAGCGACGCTAGAGGCTAAATACATTAGCGTTGTTAATTTGGTAGAACGGTATTTTTGTATGATTGGAATTTTATTTTGTTTTCGCTACCGGCTCAGAAGAGTTTGTGAATTGTGAGGTTAGACTGTTGTTAGTTATTTCTTAACTTTTTTGTTTAATTTACCTAATATTGTTTTCACATTCTGTATTTTTCTTTCACGTTCATATTCGCAAAATATTCAAAGATATTTGCGAATGCGAATATCATAAATCAAACGAATATTCGCGAATGCGAATGCGGATCATCACTAGTACCTACATACTATTAAATATTTTTTACATACAGTACACACTATGAATATTTTTCTATATAGCTGGTACTCTTAATTTATTTCCATGGAATGAACGGTTTTTCAAATAAATTGATTTATGAAAAAGTAATAAAAAAATAGTAGGTATAAGAGCAGGAGCAAGTAGAATTAAATTTTTTACAAATTGTTTCATGCACTTAATTTATTTAATTTTACAAGTGAAAAACCCTTTGAAGTAGCTGAAGAGAAACAAATTAAAAATTAAAAATAAATATAGCAATACTTTCCAAATGCTTTTAGTGATCGATAGGTAGGTCGAGAGGGACCAGTTTTATAGACACCAAGGTCGCCCGACTTAAATCCGTTAGCTTTTCTGTCTTTCCAAAGGAATCCATTAAATACCCGTAAATATTAGAAAATAAATTTTGTTGAAAATAACAGAACTGGTAATCTGGTTTCTCATTTTTCATTATTAAGCAAATGTTTCTTTTTAACTTTAAGATTTCAACATTCAATCTAGTTCTCCAACAATAGGTAATGTTTTGTCATCAGCAAAACATAACATATGATTGGTTATAACGCAATAACTTAAATAATATTGTCAAATATCATTCGAAACAATGCCCATGGAAAATTTTTTGGTTGAATTTTGTTTTTACGAAAATTAATTAAGTATCAAGTAAGAAACTCAGACTATTACAAAAATTTTCTGGCAAATTAAATATCTTTATTATACGTATACAGGGTGAGTCAAAATTCACTCCCCAGCGGCCGGATATATATTCTAGAATAAAAAACAAAACAAAAATGTAGAATACTAAAATCTCGAAAGCGGAGCCGTTTTCGAATAAATTATTAATTTTAGTTCAATAAATGCGCAATTTTCGACTTACTAATCAAGTTGACAGAAATCTTGTTGACACGGATTTACTTGACAGCAAGCTTTAGGAGCTTGTAACGATAACGCTCGTGCTGCCGAGCGTTTGTACAAGGAACAATTTCCGAATCGCCATCATCCCGGTCACAAAAGAATCCAAAATGAAGAAATACGTACTGTGAAACAAGAACGTTCTTTGTATGCCGGTCGGCCTCGAAAATTGGCATGGCAACAGGAAGAACGGTTACTGCAGGATGTTGAGAATAATCCTACCACCAGTACACGCATATTATCAAGAAACAGGTATCATGTCCAATCCACTGTCTATAGATGTCTTCAAAGGTGCAGCTTGTATCCGTATCAAGTGGAGCCAATTCGAACGCTGCATCCTGGAGACGACCAATTAAGAGTAAATTTTTGCAGATGGGCATTACAAGAATTTCAGCGCAATCCAGATATTTTCTATAATGTTTTATTTACTGATGAAGCTCATTTCACCCAACAAGGAGTTTTCAATCACATCAACTTTCATTATTGGCATTATGAGAATCCTCATGAAAAACGTTAGCGGAATCAGCAAAGACGTTGGTCTGTAAATGTTTGGATAGGTATTTACGGGAAAAGGATCATAGGCCCATTTTTTTTGCCGAGAATACTGAATGCTGTACAGTAATTTTTCCGAGAACATTTTGCCAGGTTTGTTAGAAGATATTCCTCTACAACAACGTGCAACTATGTAGTTTCAGCATGATGGTGCGCCCGCAGATGCCACATTACAAGTAGGACATATTTTGAACCGCCGTTTTCCTAATAAATGGATTGGACGGGGTGGACCAACACCATGGTCACCCCGATCTCCTGACTTGACTCCGATAGACTTTTGATTATGGGGATACATAAAAGAAAAGGTTTATTTTACTGTGCCTGTTGGCGAGGATGATGTTATTGGCAGGATTCATGAAGCAGTAGCGGAAATAGATGAAGCTAATTTCTGTTCTGTTGCCAGGAGTTTCTACCACAGATTGCAGAAGTGTATTAATGAAAATGGTATTGTTTTTAAAGGTTAGCCAAAGTCAGAAGGATCTTCGTTTTTGCTATTTCTTATTTTGTATGGATTTAAATGGATTTTAATGGTGTTAATATTAAACAAAAAAATTATAAATTTGAATTTTTCTTTGCAAAATTTTCCGAAAACGGCACCGCTTTCGAGATTTTAGTATTCTACATATTTGTTTTATTTTTTATTTTAGGATATATATCCGGCCGCTGGGGAGTGAATTTTGACTCACCCTGTATGTCAACGTTTAATATAAAATTTAATTAATAATAAAAGCAAAATTATAGGTCTCATTTCAAAACAAATGAATATCCGATACACAATCATTAAAATTTATCTGCAGTACAAGGTTACAACTGCGTGATTTAATTTATTTCATAAAAAATAATATCTATTACTACTAGGTATTTCATTAATAATAATGTTACCTTGAAATAATTATTGACCTTATACATAGTATTACACGAAATTAAATTTAATTTTAATAGTTCGTATCTCTTTATTAAAAAATAATAATTTTATCTATCTGTTATGAAAAATGCCAAAGCAATTAATATTAAAAGAAAATTAAAGGCGACCGGCATTACATTACCTGATATTTAACAAAGAGAAAAATATGAAATATGTTAGTCTTCAATCGTTGTCTACATGAAAGGAGATAACAGTAAAAATAAATATGAAACATAACTAATGTTTTCCTAAATCGGCGCGACGTCCAAGGGCTCTACGATCCTTCGAGGAGATGACGTGAAATACAGTTTTCAATCAATTACCCAAGAACCATTGAATTAGATAAATTTGG